TGCGTAAGTGCAAATCAAATGGAAGTGATGGGCATCGGGGGCACGGAGTGAGCAAGCAACCGAGTGGTGCAGTGTAAGGTAGGCAGTGCGGCATCCGTACCTGACAGGCAGTTGGCAGCTGCAGCGGCGCGAAGAGCTCGGGAAGGAAGCGCAAAGAAAGAATTACAGAAGGAAAAAATGTTGGCGCCATCTTCGCACGTGTAAATAGACTAATTCTGACCTGGCAATCTAGCTTGTCAAAGAGATACGAACCGATGGCGTTTATTGGATTGACAGAATTCTTGCTTTGGCTGCATAACTAGCTAATGCCTACCTTACTTAGGTACTCGTACCCAAGCAACCACCTCAACACCACACTGTATCCGTACCTTGTGTACCAGGTAGGCAGGTAAGCCGCCCGAGTCTGGACCTGATTTGCACCGCTCTGCTGCAGATACGCGGACACACACTTAGGTACCCGACGAGCCATCACCCGGCGATGACACCCTGTGCGGTGCCCGTCGGTCGGTCGATTCCAGGCCATCAGTGTTTGCTGCGTTGCCCTGTACAAAACATCCAGCGGATCGGTCGGACCGCAATGCGACGAGGGTGCGGTGATTGCCATTGCCACCACCATCTCTGCCCGCTTTTAAGCTTGCTGCTGGCGCTTCCTTCAAGGTACCTACGGATACGTACCTGTTGAAGGGGTACGTACTCGTCTTCTGAGTTGTCGCTGGCCCAAGCGCCATCGTGGCCGCACAGGTGCATCTTTCATCCATCTTTCAACCTTTCAACGTTATCTTATCTTCCTTCCGCTAACGCAGTTGCCTCCTGCCAGAATCATGGGACGGGATGGGCCAGTCTGGAGCCCAGCCCTGGCTATTCTCCTCCGCTGGCGGTGCTGATTGGCGCGTTGTGCTTCGAGATAACCTCATCGCACCCTCTTCTGCGGATCCAGCAGACGAATTCGCCATCGGACTTGCGAGCCTGGAATTCGACACCTCTGTCATGTCTCGATTCGCATGCACAAATTCAAAGACCGTTGACCGGACTGAAACCAGCCGCCTGACGACTGCGGTCCACTTGTCGCCAAGCTGGAACACCATTGCCATAGCGCAGTTTGCGGCATCAAAAAAAGACACTGGTCGAAAACGCAGCGGCCAGTCCATGGTCCATCAACGGATGCTCTTGTCTCACAGTTAGTGTTACGCGCGCTACTCCAAGCTCACCGCGGCTCTGGTGTTGCTCAAGTGCCAACCAAACGCACTCGGCCCCCAATCCTTCTGCAAGTCCGGCAACGTCGGGCTTGACTCTTGTCCGCCGTTCCAATCCAAGACACAAAACCCCTCGCACCCCTCACCCCACCTCGGCGGGAAACCAGCATTGTCGTTCCACCCAAGGCCCATTCCCAACCACCCGGAAGCTTGCCAACAAACGTCCACCGCCCAATCTGACCGTTTTCTCTGTCCAGCAATACCAAGCCGGGATAGCCTATCCATCGCCGCTGCCAAAGACGGTCTCTTGGATCTTGGCTCCATCCAACTCCTCACCGCAGATCTTCGTGTCCATCTCCCGACCACTCGTCTGCACCGTCGCCCCGAATCCTACCTTGAAAAGCTCCGTTTCCCTCGTTGCGTCTCGCCATTGGCTGAGCGACCTTTAACCACGAGGTCTGGAAGTCTTTTGGCTCTTTCCCTGGTCTCGACGCGGCTTGCCCTAGAACTGCCGCCACCGTTCCACGAATGGTAGTGGCGGCTGTGTTTGAGAGGTGCACAATGGATGCATTTTACCCAGGAACAGGGCGAGTCAGATCATGTCCATTCCTCAAAAGCGATGCCGATGACGGAATCAAGCACGTCTCAACATTTGCGTTCGACATCTTCAGAAATGCATCGGCCCCAAATACCCATGCTTCGTGGCTGCGCTAGTCGGCGTTAGTCTCACCGTCAAGCATGCCGAATCGTGATTACGCAGAGACGATTTCCCAACCATGACTTCACCATTCTGGACAACGCACAAACCGCGGGATTATTCTTTTCAGTCTGGTTTCGGCTACGAATGAGGCCATCAATAGTTTGATGGCCACGATGTTGACACATGCTGCGCAAGACGATGTTGCTCGATCCGGCGGACGTATCGCCGATCTCATCGAACGAACACATGGACAACCGTATTGAACTCTTTTGAAGTGCAGTGTGACTTGCCATCCCTTTTGTCGTCCTCGTTGTCGTCTCTGTTACCCCTGTCCAATTTGGATCATCAGAAGTATCTGCGCAAAAAACAAGACGCTGCCAGTTTATCTAGGATAACCACATGTAGGGGCAGAGGCAACCTGGGACCGAGAGTTATCAGTGGTCATCGAATAGAGCCGGGTTCACAAAGACGAAAGCGAGTTGCAAGTCTGATGAGTCGCCGGGTCCGTGAAATCAACTCTGTCCTCGCCGGAGGGTTAACATCTGGGATTGTCATACTTGCGCAAAAGGTCTGTCAACGGCAACCCACGACCGTTCTCAAGTGACGGCCGAAGGACTTTTTGGAGCGTTTGTGATCTGCTCAGTGCCGATCAAGTGCACGAATTTATGCCCGCCCTGAGCCGACTCAGACTCCTAGGAAGCCATCACAGAAAGGACCCTCGCAGCTAGGAGTGGCCTTCTAAGCAGCCATTCTGGCCAGACAAAACTCTCACAAGCGAGCCTAGCTAGGGACGTCACTGCCTTCGTTGCACTTGACGAAGTTGCCCAGATCGTCGAAGTACACCGAGTGGTGCCGTCTGACCAGTCCCAAGGACATGGCTCTGCACTTCTGAGCTCCCTTGCTGCAAACGGTGACAGACGAAGCAACCCTTCTCGATAATGTTGCGAGTGCTGAAATACTTGGGCTTCTCGGCCTGGAAGCAAGGATCATAGCCTTGCCTGGTGCAGTCGCCAGACTCCGTCTCTCTTCTGTAGCTAAGGGGTCGATTCAGGGGCCTGAGAGTGGAAGCTCAACTCCTGTGCAGGGCTCGAACCTTTCGAGGTACACCCGAGACGGCAGCGGAGCCGTTTTCTGCCGCGCAGATCTCAGTCGTAGGATTCCTTGTACTGGGCGGCGACTTTCGTGTGGTTGAAACACTGACGTCTCGGGAATCTTTGTTCAGTTGGCAATCACCAGCGATCCCGAAGCTCAATCTCGTTGGCGTTGTTGCTTGAGGACCTACCCGCTGGCGCGGGGGAGCATGGCTTCGTTGGGTGTTATCCCGGCGTCATATGTCACAGCCAGTTCGAAGCGTCCAAATGGATTCACAAGACTCAAGGGATTGGGTCAATGTTGGACGGTGTGCATAGAAGCCAGCCTGGATGACGTCCTCTTCTAGAAGCGGCGTCTATGCTCTAATACAGACTCCTACCGTCATGAGCGTGCCGAAATTGGTTTCGGCGAGGGAGAAGATGCGCGTCAGCATGGTTCATGGTCTCCAGGTTGAACGAAGCTGATGAACATAGGGCCACGGGTGTAGATGTCGATGGCTATATGTGTTGAACTCGTATTCATCAGCCCACGGCTAGCAATCGCCAAGTTAGAACAAGGGTGTACACGCGAGAGAGACGAAGCAGATCTAAGGAGATGGCGCGGAACGACATGGACTCGGCTGCAGCGATGAAGGGGCGGTGTCGGGTTGGGTGAGAATACCAGATGGTGGCATATGACATTAGCCGAGGAAGATGGACAGGCAGATATATTTGTATGCCCCAAAGGCGCCATGCAACCCGGTTCTCCGCTCCCTCTTCCAACCTCCTTTTTTTTTCAGCTTCTGCCTGTTGATCCAAGGGTAAGGCTACGGCTGAGGCCATACCCCTTGTAGCGCCTGTTGGTTGGCTCGCCTCCAAGAGGCCAGCGAAGAAGCCAGGGAGAAGGAGTAGTCTGAGAAGATTGGGCGCGACGATAGCTCGGATAAGGCCTCTCATGAGAGCGGCATCGCCCAGCCCATATCGTTGTCGCTTCAAGCAGAAATGCCTGACCAAGATCGTACCCTCCAAATAGCAGGCAGTGTCTTTGGACATTGACACTACCGGCCAGACGCCGGGAAGTCGAAGCCACTCTCACCCTGAGGAGAGCATACGACAAGGCTGGCGACAAGAGGGGTATCTGATATGACAAAAGCATGGCCCTGATTCGCGGTGCAGAGTCGCTGAGTGTGATGGGCCCGTTGATGGTGTGTCCATTGAGGATAAGGGGCTTGGCGGCTTGCCGGATAGAACGTCCTTCTGATTTGTGCATGCTGTCAGCGCAACGATGGTCGGCGTGTGGCTATATGAGTTGTACTTCAACCATGTTGAGAGGGTTGACAGCTGTTTGACCAGCTTGCACTGCTCCCTCGCGTCACCGTCCCAGATGCCAAGCTCCTTACAACACATCCTCGAAGGCGCCCGTTTACTGCAGGCTCTGGCCCTGTGACTGCTCGTCATCTGGTCGCCGGATATTTATGGATTGCGGCTGAAGCTCAGGAAGTTCTCGTTCAGGGGTTATGGGTGGTCTCCTCTCCTTGGCTGCTGTCGTGATGGCGTAGGCCGAGCACATCAAGTCCGCGGTTTCCGAACAGCGGGCTTTGCTTTCAAAAGACAGTGCATGGGGTACCGTAACCGCCGGGACTCCACATGAGTCTATTGCACATAAGGCGTGTGCTAGATGTAACCCGAGATCAGGCGTAGCTTCACCAAAACCTGATTCGTTCTCAACGTTCTCGTGGTAACGTCTTGTCGAGATTGCAAAGGACCATATCGAGAGATGCATACCGGTTAGTGAGATGCGAATGATTGCACCAATAAGGAGATACTACATCCCCACGCAGCGAAGGCCCCGTTTTGAAGGGCAGATACGCGCAGGGGTTGTGATAGTCAATCAGGCTGCGCTGTTTCAATACAGATCAGGCTGCGTCTTTCCAGTATAAGAAGCTTGTCCCCCCCCCACCAACAAGATTTGAGGCTTTTTCACTGCGTTTATGGCAGCCTTTTCTTTCACCGGTGCCGGCGCGCTCCCTTTCCAACATGTGTGGCCCTACCCTCAGCCGCTGGCATTGGTTATTTGCCTTCATCATCGTCACAAACGTGCCCTCAACTCTTGCCGAGGGTCCATTATTCCAACAGTTCTTTCCAGGATGGGATGGTCTCATAAAAGGGTATTTAAACGAAAGTTGCTCCGATCAACTGGCCGAATACAACAAAGATCCTATGGGTGAAGGGAAATGGAAGGTGATCGACTGTTTGTTCGATGATCCATTCTCGGAGACGCGAAAGGCAGAAGCTGCAGCCGCTGCACTCACACTGGGTCTCGCTCCAATGGTTCTCCAGACCATTGGGCCAAGCACCTCCGAGACGAGTCTTTTGTTCACGCGTCGGCCTCTTCTTGCTTTACTGCTGGCCATCTCGTCACCCTGGCCGCGCAACCCGGACGATAACGCCATCTACACAGACTCAACAGACCCTGCAATTCCGACGAAAATTTTCACGGAATCTCTTTTGTGGTTTGAACCCATGGTGTTGTTAGTTGAGTATGCTTTGGCGCTGGGTGCAGCTGCAAATGTGGCGTTACTTGCATATCAGCTCGGCCACTGGGCGTTCTTCATGTCGGCGAACAACGTCAACGACCCAGTGTGGTGGACCTACTGCTCGTTTCTCATCCACCTCATTGGGATACTTGGAATATTTCTACGATTCCGTTTGGGCGAGTCCAATGGGGTATTCGACACCGAGACGGCGAAGATGCACTGGTTTCAACGGTGGAGTTATCACGAGTTCAGACCAGCAGCTTACAACAACAAGGACAACGACACCAACAACATGAACGGCAGCCCCAAAGAAAAGAAAAAGAAAAACCTGTTGACACTAAAGACGCGGAAGTGGTCCGAGAAACGTTGGAATCACTGGATAACACTTTTGTCGGTGCTAGCAACGTGGACTCTGTCAATTGCACCGACGTTGCAGGTCCTCATGGGAACAATCATGTTATCTGGGTCGCTGCTTACCAACCAGGCGGATGCCCGCAACTGTCTGTTCAGATATGTTTGCAGCGCGATTGTTGCTCGCGCTCTGCTCTCCTTCGAACTCACGTATTTGACGCGCGTGGTAGACCCGAAGGACCGGAAGGACATGAAGGACCCAGAGGAGGGCGAGCGGGAAAATTCCGAGAAGACGATGCGAACACAAGAACGTCATGTACTACTCACGGAGACATCATTCTGAGCGCTTTTGGCGGTTCCGACAGCCGTTGTTCCCAATACGGATTTCGTCGATGCTCTCAGAACAACACCCTGCAGCACCGGCAGCTAATTAGATGGGCTAGTCTTGGAACGACCGAAGAAACCTGACAGCTTATCAACCTGCTCCTTGAGCGGTGGATTATGTTTTATCCTGGCATGCGATATTATCTGGTGTTGCCATATGCTTTTGGCGACATAGCGCATATTTCGTTGGTGGCTACGATCATATCGTTGATCTCGGAGGGAACAGGAACAAGTTTCAGCCCGGTATGACCTGTATGTAGGCTTAATTCAACGAAAACCTCAATCTCTGTCATATACAGTGTACCATGTGCGTGTGAGATGGCCCCTCTTCGATTGGCCAGCCTGTGAGAGCAGTCTGACATGGATGGAGATCAATAGTTATCTTCACCTTTCTGCGGTGAGCAGGCCTGTCTAAGAGGATCACTGCGCAGACACCTATATTCATTGGCTATGCCCCGTTTTGCCCCTCCTCTCCCCTCCTTTCCCTTCCTCCCTGACCTTGGCATTTCATGATCTGACAATCTTCCCAGTATCACAAGCGAAGTGTTGGGCCGAAGTGAATCTGTTGTCGATTCAAGAACATCTTTCGCCACTTGTTATCTTCTCTCGCACTGCATCGAGACCGGTTGTGCTGCCAGCCTGATTCTGAGGCGACCGGCACCGGTCATCATGGAAGCTTTAGGCGTCGTCGCCAATGTCATAGCCGTTGTCGACTTGTCGTTCAAGCTAGGGGTTCTGTGCGGCGATTACATCAACAAGGCCCGCAACGCGAAAGACGACATACAGAAGCTGAAGGTAGAAACCGTCGCATTGAGTCGGAACATCTCACAAGTCAAAGACCTCCTGAACGGAGAGAACATAAGCCAGAGGCGTCAGCTAGTGGCATCACAGAAGTTCCGATACGATGTGAAGCAATGCGAGCAGGTACTTCAAAAGCTACATCGAGGGTTCCGGCCCAGTAAAATTGTAGAGGAGATACTAGGAAACTTTCAGATATGCTTAGTATCAAGATACGATTTACATCGTCGTGCCTTGCCTCATTCTGCACCGTCGTGGTTTTCGTTGTGACTCAACTCAGCCTCACACCGCTCTCTGTACGTCATGTCGGTGATGTATAAGGTCTGGAGGATGACCTTTACCTTGCGTCTCGAGAATAATCGACATCTCCTTAGCCATCCTCGAGACCGAGGACCCACTTGCCATAATCCGTGACGCGTCTTTATACAAACGAGGCACGCTGCGGCCGTTATGCAACAGACCGACCCCAGTAATGTGAGGTCTTCTATGGTTTCTGACCTCCAACCAGCCGTTCAAAAGATTTGCATCAATGACTTGGTCGAGTCGGATGATCTCCGTGCTAGACGTTCTGGCGCTGGCCCCGGTTCCGGCGGAATTGGGATCTTGTTGCTCAAAAATATCTGCATACACAACCATGTAGAGCACGCAGATTAAAACGCTTAGGATGTCGAGTATCGTTGCGACTCTCGTGGTGCGAAAGTATTGAAGAACCTGAGCCGCGTAGTACAAGCAGTGCCTTGCTCTGCCGACGTTCTGCGGTACGATGTCCAACAGTTCGGACCGGGCGTTGCTGTGGCCTGCATCTGTCGTCTGCCATTTGCTGTAGGAGTTGAGTAGCCGCAACGGTGTAAACGAGCAGATGGAAAGAACTCGAGACAGCAAGGCGAAGTCGTTCGAGTTGGTGCCGGCGTCCGTTTCACGCAATACCTGAGAGCATCCTACTTGGGACAACGCATCGAAAGCTTTCTGGGAGAGCATTGTTCCCATCCCTAGAGCTAGACCGGGTTGACTAGTAGTACTGCCGGCAGAGCCGAGTCCCATAGCTCGTAGCAAATCGCTTTCGGCAGCTTGCTGCACGATGGCCGAGAGCAGTATTGTAGACTTAGCCGGTTGCTCTAGACTTGCCGGCACTACATCGCCGAAACCAACGCGTGCAATTAGAGCACAAAGAGTTGATGACGGCTGCGGTGGCGGGTGAAGGTGCCACTGCTCGTAACTCGATGACCAGTGCGCATCAGCTGTGGGCACCGGAATTTGCAGTTCAGCAATTGAGAGCAGAGGAGGCAGCATGAAGAATGTCGCCTGGAGACACTCCCACCCTTTTTGTGTAAGTTTAGTAGCCGAGGGTGGGCTTAATGAAGATCACTTACTCCAAGTGAAGTGGATGATCCGGCGTTTGGCTTCGGCTTGTATCCACTGGGACCAGGCGTGGTTCGCGTCTTCAGCGGATGTATGCGTGTGCATCAAAGTGCCCTCTCGAGACAGAAGTTGGCGACACAGGGTGATGAGGATGTTCCGGTGGAATTGCACCTCCATGACAATGTTCCACTCGCCCGAGAGCCACTGGCTTTGATGAAACAACAATAGGGATTGGGCACATGTCAAAACATCATTGCTCGATAGCTCTCGAATCTGCATGATGTTGAAGATCTTGTCAGCACGATATCATGACGAATAGTTTGATGATGGGCCTTACGTCTCTTTTCAGCATATGCTGGGCAACTCGCTGCAGTAGTAGAACATGATCGTGATGGTGGTGCGCCAAGGAGTAACGACTCCCGAGACACACCACACTGAGCACCAGTTGCCACGTCTCGGGCGACGCCTGAAATGTCGACTTGTGTAGCAAAGGCATACGTGGATGAAAGTGCTCAAAATACAACTGCATGTATGTATCAAGGTGTCGCAAGGATGGGAAGTTGGCGTCAAGCCCTGGGGCTTCCTGCTGTGGCAGTCGGGCTTTGATGGCTTGGATCATGTATGCTCGCGTTTCTGCTGTCATAGGAGGTATATGAGGAATGTGCTCGGCGACCAAGGTGTCTTCTTCTTCTGCTGTCAGACTGTCTGGTACATTGAAGACCTCAATGGCCTCTACGCCTACTCTTGGTGTTGCATTGGCACCGAAGCTGTTCTGCACGCTCTGGTCATCCGCAGATTCACCGATGGCAGCCAAAGCGGTGTCTCCGAAGCAGAAGTCTGTTGATGTCCCTGGTCCAAAAGAAGGCACCGGCGAGAAAGGAAACAGGAATTGGGCAGGGGTCAAGAGGGCATCCCAAAGGAGGTCTGGCTCGAGCGAAAGCTGGTCTGAGACACAAGATTGCGAAGTGATAGGCTGCAAGTGCTGGCGAGGTGGAGAAAGGGCAGCGGATACGTCGCCATCGGCTGCAGGTTGCGCAACGAGGATAGTCTCGTCGTCACCAGAAGTTAGTTGGTACAAGCAGCGACGACCTTTGTTTGTACAATTGGTACAAGGTGCCGGCCTGCGACCATCGCAGCGTTGTTTAGCTTTGGCGCAGGCTTCGCACGCACGACGTTGGTCTCGTGAGGAATTATCATCATTGTTTTGCGTCCATTCAGCGAGGACTGCAGTGCCATGTGTGCGAACATGCCGTTTCAAGGTGTCCCTTTTCCCGCTGAAAGTCAGTCACAGACGCACGAAACATACAACATATTGAGCATAGGCACGGAGAATACACACCTCCGAGAGAAGGCTCTCTTGCAAATACTGCATGTGTGAGAACGACGGCCGGAATGGCGGTCCAGATGGCGACTGAGATGCTCACGCCGACGGAAGGTTTTCCCGCATTCGGGGCACGGCAGTGATGCGGAGGCGGTGGAGGAGGAGGGGAAGGATGGGGGGCCATTGTCGTCACTGATGCCGTCGGCAGCACCATCGTTATCAGTATTATCGCCTCGGTTGGCAACAGCGGAGGCACGCGATCGCATGTTGAACGATATAGTGAAGTGTGGAATTGCGGTATGTCTGGGGAGCAACAGGGGAAATGTTGGGGTTTCCGAAATCTCGGGGCGGCGGCGGGGGTGGGGTAACCCGAAATATATGGAGATTGCGGCGGGGCCGCGGGAGTGGAGGGATGCCGAGGAGTAACTCCCGTCTTTCACTCTACCGACCGCCACCGCAACTCGCGAATGTTGAGTAGACGAGACGAATTTCACCCTCTCAAACAAGTGCGTTCACATTAAAATCTAGAGATCAAGTTGCCTCATGCATGTCAAGAAGTCATTATAGCTGATACTTTATGAAAGACATCGTATTGCTCCAAGCCGTAATCTGAATCCTTTGTATTACAATGATTTTGCGATATTCAGAATAGTACATCCGATTTGCCCAGTTGCAATGAGGTCACCTTAGAACTCGTCTCCTTCTCAACCGCTTGCGTAGCTGGACTTACATCCACCGTCCACGGCTTGATCGGCGCCTCATCATGCAAGCACCAAATCACCTTCTTGGGCTCTCCCAGAAGTTTCGACACTTGCACCGCGAACTGCGCCGCCGATCCATCAAACGGTCGCCCGTTCAGGTTCGCCCGCCCAGCAATCGCCTGAATGAGCACGTCTGGCTGTGGCTGCACCGTCTTCAATATTCCATCGTACCCGCCCAGGTGCCCGTTCCACAGCAGTGTCTTGCCCTCTCCAAACAGGAAGTTGTGCATTAGCTGCCCTCCGTCAAAGTGAGACATGCAGTCCCTCGCCGGACCGTTGACGTAGTCGACGAAAGAGCGCATGCCCGAGTCCATAGCGTCGCGAGGCATGTGGTCGCCGATCTTTAGGAGGCCGTATTTCATACCGAATGTGATGTCCAGTGTGCAAGCGTACTGGCTTGCTCCTCCAATATACTCTTTGCCTGTATCCATGATCGCGGGCACATCAGCATGCGACCCACCAGGCATCAGACAGTGCAATGAAGGCCAGACATGGACGGAAGCCGCGGCCAATTTAGCATCTGGAGCCTCAGGGGCGCCTGGCGGCCCAGGAGCGATGTCAATTTCACCACGAGCTGCTGCTTGACGACGCTCGAGAGTAAAAAGAGGGATGCGCTCGCCGCCAGATACCGGGATCAACTGGTCTTCGGGCACTCCAGCTAGCCGAAGGACGTTGATAGCTTCGCCGTTAGCAATAACATGCGCTCCGGTTTTGATTGCGATCTTGTCGGCTCCGGGAAGACTGAGAGACACCTAGTGAGCCGGTTCTGTGTGTACGAATTGGCATGATTACATTGCTGGTGTGACACTCACTGGTCAAAATGTGCGTGGGAGATGAAAATGTAATCCGCTTCAGTCACATCGTCGATAGCCAACACTTTCGGCAGGACATCTGGTCGCTCAAGCCATGTGTCCAAAAAGATGACGAGGCCGTTGGCTTTTACGCGAAACGTGGTAGCACCTGCATGATTAATGAGCCTCATGAGCCTCAGCTGGGCAGTCAAGAGACACTGAAGATGGTGGCAACTTACCGAACCACTCGATTGTTGCATCCATGCTGTGAAGTGGTTGTCGGTCAGCACTGCGAAGTAGAGAACGAAGCAAGTTACAGTTCAGATTGACATGACTTCGTCTGGATTGAATCTGATACATCCACCTAAATATAGCCAGTTTGGAGTCGGAGATCCTCCGGTGACCAAGCCCGGGGACCCCCGCAACTCCGCACCGCAAGACGAACTTGTCCCACACTGCCGGCTTTGCTGAAACTATTCCGTCCAACGCGGACTCTATAACTACTTAACGACTTTCAAAATTCTGTCGACAAGCCGTGTCCAGCCTTCATCTCTGGCTTGTGTCAATGATCCTCGCCAAGCGACAATCCCGTCGGGCCTGACAAGCACGCCGCCAGACCAGTCTACACCGCGGTACTTCTCCCATTGCCCGGTCTGGTCTTGCCATCCATCTCTTCCAACAACCACCACTTTCACCCTGTGTTCGTCGATCCTCTCCTCCAGTGTATTCTCTACAAATAGGGTCAGTGCGTCCAAGTCCAAAAGATCACGCAATGCCACTGTCCTATCGTCGCGCGTCACCCACGCATGGGGAAGATGATGCCCTGGAATCGTCGACATGTAGTACGTGTGATGTACTAGTGTGCCGTCTGCCAGCTGTTGTCCCCCATGCGTCGCTCCACCTTCAGAGTTGATATCTGCACTTGGATAGAACCAGCCTACTTCGTACCCTGGTGCTTTGAACTCGGTATCGAGCGCTTGTGATGCCAACTGGATAAGTCGCTGCTTCTCTGCGTATTCGGGGTGCCCTTTGTCGAAGAATGCCGCACCTGCTGCGAGGTTCTCGGCTTGACTCTGCGACGCGCTAATCCCCATAACACGATCAATCTGGCCTGAGTGAGAGCGCATGTTGTTGAGGCTGGTCTGTCCGACTCGTTTTCCGACCTCTGCGCGCTCCTCGTAGTAAGTGTCCAGGAGACTGTCATAATGCCTGCCTGGATCCTTGAGGGCCATGGACAGTTTCCACGCGAGATTATTTGCGTCTTGTATGCCAGAATTCATTCCCAAGGCTTTTTTAAAATCAGCATTGTTGAAATATCACGTCAAACTGAAGGCATGTAGTTTACTTACCGCCCCATGGTGGAATGCGGTGAGCGCTGTCGCCCACCAGGAAATGGCGTCCAACACGCCATTGCGATGCGTAAAGAGCATTCACCGTCCACTCACTCAAGGAGATCAGCTTCATGTCAAGGTCCGGTATGCCGATGGTCTTCCTCGCTCGAGCCAGAGCCGTCTCAGCATCAAACTTGGTCGGGTCGTCTGCTGCCTGCGCGCAGACAAACATCCATTCCTCTATTTCTGGACTGGTCATCGCTTCCGGCCAGGGTCCCAGCTGATAAAGGTAGCCGGTGAGCGTGCTGCCCCCCATTGCTGGGTTCGTGAACCACGTTATGAAGTTGCGATTATCGGGATGCAGATCTCTGATCGGAGAGCGGATATGTGCGCTTATCATGGTCAAGAGGTCGCCCTCGCCGCTCCACTCGACTCCCAGTTGTGTTGTGAACTGACGACCGCCATCCGCAACGATCACGTACGTCCCTCTGTGTCGGGAAACGTCACCCGTGCGGAGGTTCCTTACAGTAACTTCCGCAAATTCGCCATGGTCCTCTGTCGTCAACACCTCATTCCCGTAGAAGATTTGATGAGGATTCAGCTCCACGGCGCGTCGTTTCAAGATCGGTTCCAGTTTTATCTGCGGCAGAATGCAGTATCTCGACGGGCTGTGCTGGGCGTACTCCGCTGCGTACTGGCCGCCTCCCCACGCATCTCTGGAGAACACTTCTTTCCCCTCTTCTCCAAGCGACGTATACCAGGCGGTTCGTCCGGCTATCTCGGCCGGTGCTGCAATGGCGTAGACATTCTCTTCTACTCCCATGACACGAAGAATCTCGGTCGTACGCTGGTTGATGCCGCACGCTTTTGGATGGATTGAAGTTGACGGATGGCGTTCGAAAAGCATGTTTGAGATGCCTCGCAAAGACAGCAGTATGGAACATGTCAGGCCAACTGGGCCGCCACCAATGATGACAACAGGAACGACTGTATTATCTCCTTCACTGGCCATCATTGCAAATCTCACTGGTTAATTAGCTGAAACATGTAGCGAGAGCTTGCTAACGATATATCAGATGTACGAAGAAAGCAAAGTTACAACGAGTAGAGCAGGTGTTCCGTGGCACACCCCGCACGAGAGAACTCGCCTTAATACACACTACGACGCTGCAAGTGGATTACGAAAGCACTTTGTCATTGCTTCTGGTGATGAAGCGGCGGGGTCCCCCGTTTGCTGCGGAGAATGTTTTGTTGCGGAAAATGTGCAACAACAAATGCAGCGGTTGTTCGTTCTAGGATATCCGTCACAAAAGGGGGTCGGTAAAGCAAATCCCTCGTCATTCTACACTCATGAAATCCTTCACGTTTATGTACACCTCGACTGAATTGCTAGGTACAGATCTCTTACGTGCACTACTTCTCATGCGATACATAGTCTACCTTGACTTCGGCTTTCAAGCCAACAGTCTCCAAGGCCGAAACAAACCAACCCATCGCGGTCAAAGCCATCCCAATGAAACTTATGATCATCTTGCCCGATACCGTCGTCAAGTCCAGCGAGGTTACAGTCTCACTGGCCTTCACCATTTTGAATGCCCGTGGGTACATCTCCGCGTCGAATGTGCGCACCAGAGCGACAAGCTCTCCATCAAACGGCACGTCCTTCTTGAATGTTGCTTGGTGAAAAAGCTCGACAAGATTTCCAGCGTCAGTCAGTGCCTGGTTTGCACCCATACCTCGGCCGGGCGTCATTGGATGCACGGCGTCGCCGAGGAGGATCACCCGCGAATTCTTGTCGACACCTTTCCGCCAATCTGTCTTCGGTTTGAAGGAGCTGGTCACAAGACCTGTCCGGACAGCCTCAGTCGCCGATCGCATGATAACTTCTAAAGGTTTTCCGTAGCCGAGATCATTTCGGAAGTAATCTATAAGGAGAGGAACGATCTTCTGAGGGTTCGAACCGGCCTTCGCTATCAGCTCATCTCCCCGAGCTCTGGGTATACCGACCGACCAGAACAACGTGTATGACTCTGTATCACCGGTATTGAGGTCCTTCTTGGCGTCGTAGACAGATGAAAATCCAGCAACGTCTTTGCCGCCCAAGAACATTACCGAGCCAGATTGGACGAGCGACTCGGGTAGCTCATCCAGTACGGATCGTGAAACGGTGCCGCGAGACTGAATCAAGGTCATGGCCTCCAGCTTAATTTTGTTATTTAGGCCAACCTGTCGGTTGACCTGGCTGCCGCTGCCGTCTGATGCGATAAGAATGTCGGCCTCCTGTGAAGCTTGGCCATCGAAGTGCAGCAGGACGCCACATTGCTCGCCTGGCATGAGCTCAAAGCGCGTAAAGGTATGGCTGAAGTGAACCCGCCCTTGAACGAGCAACGGCTGTAGGAGAGCACCACGAAGTCCCGTTCTGGGTATGGCCTGACTCTTGGGATACAACTTGAGATCGCCTAAGCGTAGGCGAGCGGCGAAAGTCTTGGGGTCAACAATCGTGGGCGCTTCTGCCTGATCACCAGCCCAAACTTCGCGGATCAAGGACCAAAGTTCAAGGTCGGAGACTGTCTTCAGAGCGTTCAAGCCATTGGCACTGATACGGAGCTGATACCCGCCACGCTCTGAGTTGAAAGCAATCGTATCGCGTTCGAAGACCTGGACATCGAATCTTCCAGCTGGGTCTTTCAGCAAGCCGTTGGCGACGGCAAGTCCAGATATGCCTGCGCCAATGACGGCGACTCGAGTTTTGCGATGATCCCCTTCGTGAGGGAGAAACTTGGACGAGGCCATGGTGACTTATATGGTTAAAGTGAATGAAAAGGTTATATGCGTGACAACCAACTGCGGTATTTGGAATGAAGAGAAACTTCCCATCTCGGAAGCCATGAGGTCTGGCTAAAGTAATCATCGCCTGTGCTAAGAGGCCTGCATTGTGGCCTTGTTGAATTGCTTTGAGGGGACGGCGCAACACCGTGCCACATCGGAATACCCCACAATGCGGAGGCGTCCGTATGAAGCACGGAACCTTGGACGACGGCGTCATGTTCTTCTCCTCACCGTAAAAGCACCCACCGACCGTACGAGGGCTTGTTGTGTGCTGCCAACATTCAACGCATCTGACGTCCTGAGACACACAACAGCCATGTCAACGATCAACATTTCAGGAATAGCCATACCCCGCCTATGCTTCGGAGTGGGAACCCTCATGAGATGGGCACCCGGCCACACCCACCCACTTCCCACAGACAGCAGCGTCGAAATTCAACAAGCCATTGACGCTGGCTTCCGCCACTTCAATACTGGTGATATCTACACCAACAATGACAGTTTTGCCAAAGTCCTCCGCCGCAGCAATCTCAAACGCTCCGAGATCTTCCTGTCCCTAAAGATCAACACCTACGCATCGTTAGGATGTCGAGGGCGCGATCACATGATCCAAGCCGTAAAGCAGGAGGTTGAGCGGTTTGGGATATTAGAAGGTTATGTCGACATTCTGCAGTTGCACTTCCCGCCCCGCGGTCACGCTGGGAACATGACAAATCGCGAGGCATGGCGTGTGCTGGAAGACCTCAAGGATCAGGGACTTGCTCGCATTATTGGTGTGTCAAATTGGTATGTTATCAATAACGCAATAATGTGGTGTAAGCAGATCAAGGCTCACGAGCGCGACTTGTAGGACATTGCCTGATTACCATGACATCTTTAACGCCAGCGACCTCAAGCACCCTCCACAGCTCAACGAGTACGAGTTTAATCCTTTCTTGCTGTCTGACCCCAAATTCCGGCAACTCCGGGAGTTCGAAGACAAGCACAACGTTGTCACAATGAGTATGTATACCATCCAGCCAAGTCTTTAGGGAATCTGCTGACAGCCGCGCAGACTATGGGGTTTTGACAGCCATCAACGGTCGCTTGCCTAATCAAGATAGCACAACATTATTCCAGAAGTTGGAAGAGCAGTCGAAGCAGACGAAGCTGTCCGTAGCTGATCTGCTGCTCAGCTGGGCATATTACCGGCTTGGCGGCATTCTTGTGACATCTACATCGAAGGCAGACCGCGCTAGAAAGACCTTCGAGCTTCTTTCGGCTAAGCATGCGCCATTCAACGGTCAGATCTACGAGGAGATTGAGAAGGCGGCAGCACTGGATGGCCCCGAAGGCAAGGTATTCTATGGCCATCCTCACATGGAGAAAGCTCGCCAGGAGCATTTGAGCGCTCAGAAGTAGGATAGCAAGTAGTTATTTCAATATCTACATCTATCAACTTAAGATGGCTTGGACATCCCATCCTTCATAGACATTGAATCACATTTAAGCCTTCAAACCATGTGCTCTATTAATCGACACGTTTCGCTACAGTTGCGTCGTCTACTATTTTAATGTAGGCTACCGAATTCTCATAATATTACTTCAACCCCGCGTTAATACTCTCTCCTACAAGAGAGCTCAACTACCCCACCGCCACTTACCATGAGAGTTTCGGCACCCCACCACAGCCTGCGACGTCACTAGTGTTTCCCCACGCCCTCATTCCTCAAGAACCACACGATATAAGCTTTGTCTACACCACGAATTTCCAAACGAAGCATCTCCAGGCGAAAATTGCCATGTCTTATCTTGGGCTCTTTGGTTCTCTCGCGCTCCTTGCCATTAGCTGGCTGCTCAGCCACATCCGTTCATGTCTTTCTCCCCCCGGAGCGTACGGTCCTGCATTCGCCAGATGGACTGACGCATGGTACATCTGGGAAATATGGCAGGGCAAGTATGAGGCATACGACATCGAAGCACACAGAAGTGGCTGTAAGTGAATATCATTTGGCTCCAGTCAGTCCTCGGTCGTGGCTGACGACCACCAAAGCCAGAAAAATCGTTCACATCGGGCCTCGCATGTACAGCATTGATGACCCGGCCATGGCCCGTGTAATCTATGGCATCTCATCTCCTTTACCAAAAAGCAAATGGTACGATGCATGGGGAGATCCTCGCATCCCGAATCATAATCTTTTCAGCGCGCGCGATCGCGTCGTGCATGGCCTCATGCGCCGCAAGGTTGCCAGCATGTACTCCATGTCGACAATCAAGTCCTACGAGCCCTATGTGGACAGCTGTGTTGCACTTCTTCTGAAGCGTTTCGACGAATTCTCCGAAAGCGGAGAGACGATCGACCTGCAGCAGTGGATGCAGTGCTATGCATTCGATGTGATCGGTGAGATTACTGTGAGCTTGGTGTTGGCTTGCTTGCCCAATTGTATCAATTTTCTGACTTTCATAATAGTTCGGCAGACGAGTGGGTTTCTTGGAATCTGGCGGGCAAGATGTCGACGGCATCATGCGAGGTCTGGCAAATGCCAATGCCTTTGCCACACTTTCGGGCGTCAACGCTGTCTTACTGCCAATCCTTTTTATCCTCTACGGTAACCCTGTTCGTGGTATCGCAAGTTTTGCGCGAAAGCTCCAATCTGAGAGCGATGAAATTGACATCAAGGAAAAGCATGGCGGAGAGACCTTCCTGGCAAAAGTCCAACGACTGCAGAAGGAAGACCCGGAGGAATACGAAAAATTTCGTATCCGAACGATTACTTTGACAGGAAACGTCGCAGCTGGAAGTGACACCACAAGCATCTCTCTGACAAGTGCGCTATATCATCTCCTTACCACAAACGGTGTCTCAGAGCGCATGTATGAAGAGCTTGATTCTCAAGGCTTCTGCTCTAGTCTTGACGAACACATCACTTTTGACCAAGCCCAGCAACTTCCATACCTCCAGATGGTCATCAAAGAAGCCCTGCGACTCCATCCAGCCGTCGGCTTGCCCATGTGGCGCGAAGTCGTAGGGTCAGGTCTGGACGTGGATGGAACCCATTTTCCACCTGGGGTATGCCCTTACAACGTGGCACAACCGCATGTAACTTAACTGACAGTTCTTTACAGGCACTCATCGGTGTCAATCCCTGGGTAGCGCACCGGAACGCAGATGTCTTTGGCACGAACGCCGCGGACTTCGTACCAGAACGGTGGGATCCCCAACACACCTCCTCGGAGACTTTAGCAGCGATGGAGCAGTACTACCTGCCTTTCGGAGCGGGCGCGAGGACTTGCATAGGGAAGCATATATCACACCTGGAGATGGTGAAGTTGATCCCAGAGCTAGTCAGACGGTATGAGTTCAAGTGTACTAGTGGGGAATTGAAGACAACGAATAGGTGGTTTGTAAAGCCGCAGAAAGTGCTCTTCAGCGTCAGGAGGAGAGGAACACGAGCTTGAGTTTGAATAGCACAGCAAGGTATTTACAACTTGTGTAATAGGCAAAGGGAAGTTAAGAAGTCCCCATCCATTATTACTGGCGGTATGCTACATTCTTAGACGACTTCCGCATGGCGTTCCACTATTCCAGTGTTATAACTGAACACAACTTAACCTCGCAAGCTAATTCTGGATTTCCTAGGTCAATATCAAGACCGGCTCGATATTCATATCTGGAGAGCGCGCAAATCATACATATTCCTAGTTTGTTGTGTGATTCAAGGGAGCTGCTTGGCCAATCTAAAATGCGAGCCACCTCGCATCATAGACGACAACGGGACAAAGCTCTTTCTCCTTCTCCCCCCACCAGGGGCTCATCTCATCGCAAGTCAAAGAGTTCAGAACATCCTTGCTCATTCGGTTTCTGACCTGGATGCGGCGCGTCTCCGATTGCGGGGGTGGGGGGCCCGTCTTTGGAGCACCGCAAAACGAATCAAGGGATTACAGAGTTCTTATTCGGTAGTATACTTTATAATACGTGGAAATCTGCGTCTATCTCTCCACAATCCCGACCTTTGCATTATTATTGTATGTTGAATTACGAACAACTTACACCATGGCACAAACTGCACAGCTCTTCTCTGTACCCATCTTATTTACCAAGCTCGATCATGAGCCAAAGAATACTTGGATTGCCTATGGCTCTTACGAGAGACGAATCATTTCCAAAGGATGGGCCAAAGAAGAGGGTCGCAAGGCTTTTGCGGTCGATACGGTCTGGGAGAAGGATGTCCGCATTCCGCTCCGAGATGGTGTCGAGCTCTTGGCTGGCATTTTTCGTCCGCTGACATCCGACGACGAGCCTGTCCCAGCCATCATGCCCTGGAGCCCATATGGCAAGACCGGAACTGGTATGCTGCAGCTCGACATGTTCCCGTGGAGAGTCGGCGTGCCTCGCTCTGCGACGAGTGGCCTGGAAAAGTGGGAGGCTCCTGACCCTGCTGAATGGGTCGCCCGCGGTTACGCTGTTGTCAATGTCGACGCGCGAGGGGCGTTCAAATCCGGCGGCGATCTTCACGTCTACGGGACTCAGGAAGGCCGTGACGGATACGACTGTATTGAGTGGATTGCGCAGCAACCATGGTGCAACGAGAGGGTCACCATGGCCGGAAACTCGTGGCTTGCGACAACGCAATGGTTTATCGCTGCTGAGCAGCCTCCTCATCTGACTTGCATGGCACCTTGGGAAGGCCTCGGGGACTACTACAGAGAGTCTATATGTCGTGGTGGCATTCCTGACCATGCCTTCTGGGACGTGTTGATGGGATGGGCATGCGGTAGGCGTTGGGTGCTTTTCATATGGGTGTTATTTGCGAGCCTGCTCTGACGTAAAATTTGTCACAGGACCTGGGATGCGCGAGGACGTTGGCGCGATGGTGGAAAAGTATGGTACTTGGAACGACTACTGGGAAGACAAGAAGCCGAAGCTCCGCAACATTACTGTTCCGATGTATGCCACTGCCAGCTTCTCGACTGGACTACATACCGAGGGATCAGTCAGAGGATTTCAGCTCTCTCGATCATCTGAAAAGTGGTACGTCTACCGTCGGGGTGAAGCGTATTAATATCCACTCTGATTACTGAAACGCCGGAATAGGTTGCGCTGGACTGCAACCCAGGAATGGCACGATATCTACAAGCAAGAGAATATTGACGACCTGCAGCGATTCTTCGACAAGTACATGCTTGGCAAAGACAATGGCTGGGAGACTACGCCCAGAGTCCGATACTCACTGCTGGGCTACAATCGGCCAAGCATAGTCAACGAACCGGCTTCGCAGTTTCCGCCGGCCAAGTTCAAATACGAAACCTTGTTCCTCGATGCGACGAGTGGAGCTCTGGAGAACCAAAATCCCTCAACTGAGAGCGTGGTTGAGTACCAAGCGGATTCGCCTTCTGACGATGGATGCTCGTTCCTCCATAGCTTCAAGGAGTACACCGAACTGTGTGGCGTCTCGAAGGCCAAAGTGTACATGTCAACACTTGATCATGACGATATAGTAAGTTTCCCGTTCAGGAGAGGTCATATATATGCGTACATCAAATGATCAAATTGCTTAATAATGAACGAACCTCCGCAGGATGTCTACGTCGTTCTACGCAAGCTCGATAAGAACGGCAAAGCACTGTGGCACCAGAATATTCCCATGGAAGACCTCCCAAAGGGCACAACAGCTGACGATATTCCGAATGAGAACATCTGGTGAGTTATAACCGTGCTTCAATTCATCATTCATAGTCAGGATCATGCGCTCCAGGGGCCTCTGACACTGACGAACCATGTACAGGCGCTACATTGGACCCAACGGCCGTCTTCGCGCATCGCATCGCGCCATCACGAATGAGTCGCTCGAAGGCATTAGTCAAGACGAATACAAGAGACTCATGGGACCCGCGTGCGTGTACCATCCACATACAACACCGCAAGCATTACGCCGTGGCGAAGTCGTCGAGCTTGAGATTAGTCTCTGGGCCGGGGGTATGATCTTCGATGCTGGAGAATCTATGAGGCTCGAGTTCAAGGGTCGACTCCCTATTATGCCCGAGTTTGAAGGTCTGGACAAGCGCATGGTGAACCATAACGTTGGGCGGCATAGACTGCACACTGGTGGAAGATATAAGTCTCGGTTCTTAGTGAACCTGTGGAGGAGCGGTAAATAAGGACCAGACAAAATCGGTTTTTTACGTAGCTATTCTCATGTGAACATTGCTTAATTTAGCCAAATGAGACATTTTTTTTAATTTTCTTTTTACTTGCAGGTTTATGTTTTTTTAAGAAGGCTGAGTATGATCACGTCGAGTGTTGGCTAGCTGAAGGATATCAACATAATCCTATTAGACTCACGGGCGCGTGACAACATCTCAAAGGACTTCCCGTCTTATGTTTCTACTTTAAGTGAATCTCTAAAGCTAGTCGCTTTAAATAATGGCTTGGCAGGGATTTGTCACGACCTTTCGACATGGCAATCTTCGCCTCGGTCTGCCATGATCCTATTTCGATCATCGCACCGGAACTCAAGCTTTCTGTGTCGGTATTCAGGCCCGACACAATGCGCGGTCCTTGGAGACATTTACTTCAAAGCCACTTGGTTTCGGCACGTCCGTGAGCATATGGGTCGGTATGAACGACATTATGGCGGCTTGGCATGCCGGTGGCATGAGATATTCAAGTCAACAGCAGTAACAGTACTAAGGCATCTGGAAATGCACTTTCTTACCATTTCTGAAGCAACAGATTGGTGTCTTTCATTGAAAAATTTACGAGTCTGGATAGGGGCGGCTAAGTTGGCATTGACGATCAGCCCGACCACCAGTCATAATTGACTCGACCCTCTCCTGTTGTCACATACGACCATACCCATTGGAAAACTCGGGATCCCGTCCGCTCTCCCATAGATAAGCTAATGAGGGCTGGAGTAGTAGTCGGGTCGGTGACGACCGGCGAATGCCCGGTGTTGTATGTTCTTTTTTGCGCATGCTAGGTACTCAACTAGGTGAAGGTCTTTCAAGTGTAAATGCTTTCTTTTCAATTCGTTCAACAAGTCACTTAAAGAAGTGTCTTAGATAAATTCTCTTTTTAGAATAGATTCAACCAGCTATTTTCATGTGGGAGTTGTGGTTTTAGGTTTTAACATCCCTTGCGGACAAGAAACTTGGCTGGCCACGATCACAGGGAACCCTAACCCCCTTGGTAACGTGTCATCCGTTTCTCAGAGAACGTCGAGCCTTGGCCGTTGTCCCGCACGCTACTCATGTAGGGCGTGTAGATGTAGATGTAGATGACCAAAGTGCTGCTACTTGTGACTACGAGTTCTAACGAACTGGCCAACTGCCCGAACCGTACAGCTCTTCGGTCGGCTTGACAAGATACACATTGCAGCTTGCTCACAAGTTATGTTCCCAAGGTCACTTCTAAAATTACGTGAACAAAGTTAGATTGACTGAATGATGCATTTCTGGCTAGAACGAAGATGGTATATTGACGAGTTGAAAAAAAAAAAAACAATCGAATGCATTTAGCAGGTTTGGCAGACGTTGCCACTGCAGACCTGCCCTTTGTCCGCGCACGACTCAAACTGTATATCGATGGTCAGCTTCACTGGCTCTGGCATTTCACATAATGTGAGGCGATGGACTTACAAAGTTCCATGTCATTTTGTCCCTGCCTGGGAAAACGTTGCACTGTACGATATTGTTCCCAGAGCACCCAAAGGCGTCCTTGTATACGCAGTCTTTGCCCTGATCGGCCTGCATCGCGACCGTTTCACAGTTTCCGGTGTTGCAGATTTGTCCCTTATCGGGGCATGATGTCTCCTACGTAGAAGGGTTAGCTTTGGTTGTTCTTGTTGGAGGACAGCCGGAGCAAGAAGCTTACAAAGTTCCAAGTCATAGCACTGCTGCCTGGGAAAACATAGCACTTTACAACGTTGTCGCCCGAACAGTCTATGGCATCCTGGGTATCGCAGCCTTTGCCTTGGTCTGCTGCCAATGCGGCCGTGGCGAATAGTGGGAGTAGGAAGGAGAAGCGCATAGTGAAAGTACGATGTGAAAGAGGGTAATTGTTCAATGACGAATGGCGAAGTGCAGTAATGACGATGTAGTTGAGGTGATTACGTCTGATCTTTGTAAATGCGGAAAGTTGGGCCCACGCACCTGGGCAGGCCATGTTCTTTAACTCTCTTGACCGTTGACATTAGAGCAACTCCCGTAAACTAGAGTTTGCACAATTTTCGAAAACACATCGAATTTGTCTTGGCATTCAGGTACAATCCCATTAGTCGGATAGGCCGACGAGCATAATTGAAATTTTTATGCATAAGCGAGTCAGGACCCGTCAACTGCCTCGCACTTTTAATAGGGGAAATGAAGATCATAGGTGCATTGACATAATTTTCTGAGGCCTTTCACAGCCACGTTGATTAATTCGACACTCGAGTCAGTTATGAAAATGTCTATTAGATTGATCTCCTGACAATACACGGCTCTAAATGGGTTCGCCGAGTTTATTCTACCCCAGTGAGCCTAAATTACAGGCCAAACTTACCTCTACCAGTGCTTCAGACAGAGCACATAAAGTCTACAGCTCAGAACCCTCCGGTTGTGCTGAATCATGTTGCTGTCGAGAACCGAAACCGAGTCTTTGGAATAAAGACATAACAACTGGCACAGCACATCACCAGGTCTTTCAGCGCACATCTTGTCTCTCCACAATTCGATTCATCTTCTACTTCTAAGAAACCATGAAGCGCCACATCGAACTCAACAGCTTGCGAGCCACTGCCGCAGCCTTCCTTCTTGTCCAAGGCGCCAACGCCGGCAAGGTCTACTGCGCCAATGCAGAGGAGAAAGTCGTAGCCGAATCAAATTGCGACGGCACCGCACCACCAGGGACTTTCTACATGTTCAACAGCGAAGAAGAACTCGGCATCGGCTCCAAAGTCTCACTAAAGAACGCCGAAGTATACGACAGCAACGGAGCATTCGAGAAGCGACACGAACTATTCCCGGCCGACGAGCCAATGCAAGATCTCGAGGACAATGGTTTTGGGAAAAGAGCCTGTGGAACCGGATATGGTGGTGGTTACCGTGGGGGTGTATTTATTCCTATTGTTGTTCCCGTTATTGTTGGCGGTTGAATAGGCGCGCCGCGCGCCTCTCCAACACACAACACAAACTTGTCCCCTCGCGCTTCAGCTGAGGATGGTCAACCGAGCGATACCCCTGAGTTGAAAAAGCAATAAATCTGATTCGTTACATCTTCAAAGTTCAGCGCCACAAAAACAGAACGTGACTTTCTTGCTCATGATATCGTGTGATCGGCCAGAGACAGCTCCGTGGGCCTTACAATGTCCTGCTCTTAGCCGGACTGTTAGAACGCAGTTACCGTTCCTGCCAGTTGTAGCGCTTTTAAGATTGTACTGCAAGGCCGTTCGTCTCATGTTCGTCTCATGCTGGCAACTTTGGTGGCACACTGATCACCCTGCTGCCCTGCACTGGCGCAGTTGCAGGGCCAGAAAGGCCCCCACGACATGAGCACACTTAAGCACTTAAAATGCCCACATGATGCGACTTCTTTAAAATTAGCCTATTTCAAGGGTCCATCAGAAGCTGAGCTGAGCTAGGTCGCTCGTGAGTGGATCGAGTTGTGAATAGTGTCTCGATTACTCATCGCCCACCTGCAGTAGCCCCATCAAGAAGGAGCTTAAGGGTAAGCGACATTTTTGTCTTAACAACTCCACACCTTTGCGTATACGAGCCAGTCTTCAGAAATCTTAAGTGAGACCAATGTCAGCTCATAACCACAAAAAAGGGGCAAGGCTATTTGTTCCTAGGTGGTTGTAAGTCAGAGTTGGTCTTACTTACAGTTTCAGCTGCCTAAATACCTGGCGCCACGATGCAACCCAAGGGAGCGGTTGCTTAGTAGAAGAAAAACATCGTGAAGTGACAAAAGTTGGGCCGAAATTCTCGGAAAGACTCGGAGTCACGATGTCTCTTCGATCGGACCTCTGTCCCTTGACCAACAGTTGTTGAAGTTCAGCCGTGGACGGTTGATGTGGAGATTAGTTGTCAGCTTGGAGAATGGGAAAGCCAAAGATCTCTGCCATGTGAATGACCTCCGTTGCCGTTTGGATATAAATAACATAACATTTCCTCCCTCTGTGCCTTGTCTTCACCAAATCTGGACTGCCATCAAACATTCTTCAGAATATCTTTCATCCGCACGACGAACAATCTCAACCTCAGTTATTCGCAATGAAGCTTTCTTTCATCTTCCTCTCCGTGGCCACCGTTGGCGCAGCCCTGGCTGAAACCATTCAGCTCCCCGACCTTGCTGATGGAAGCTACATCATCAGCATTGACGGAGAGGGCAAGCCGACTTGGACCGACATTACTGTCAACACCACCGACTCTGCCCCGGCCACAATCCCGAAGCATGACGGTGCCAGCAACAGCTTCCGCGCCAACAAGCGGTACAACTGGCCTTCTGGAACCTACCCATGGTGCCCCGGTGGGGACTGGTTCTTGGAGAACGACTTCTACCAGCACGGTTGGGACGCGTTCTATGCTCAGTGCAAGGCGAACGGCAATCACAAGTTCCCGAAGAACACCGTCTTCGCGAATTACCAAGGAACCTCCGTCTCATACATGTGCGCGTACACTACGAACCCGTGCAACGTCAACGAGTGGGCTGATGCTGTCGGCTGGGCCGCTTCCAACTGCAAGGGCCGCAGCAATGGCTGGATGGAGCCTGGTATGTATTCTAACCAATGCTTCAAACGAGACTGATGAACATGGAACTGATCATTGAATACAGGATATCTCCATGTCCCCGGATGGAACAAGGTAAGAGATCTGGAAAGAGTTCGAAAGTCGAGAGAAGCTGATTGCGGGTACAGAGATACGGCTATGCCAAGTCGGGAGCTTCAATCTGCTAAATGGGTTTACCGCCGTAAATTCCTCCCTTGAAAGTCAGAGTAAGGAAACTAACGCCCGTTCCAACGACATTGCCAGTCGGCACATAAAATTCTCGTTCACGTTGGCACTTGTTTCGCACATTTGGAAGAGATCGTATGGTCAAATATGTAACTACGCCGAGCCCCTGGGTCATGTGTTTCTTCGCAGCATTGGCACTACACTCGAAACAAATAGTAGCTAATCACGTTAACTGCGGATTTCAATACAAATACATATGCTCTTATCCAAGACAGAACTCGTGTTACCATTAGAGCGCTATGTTCAGGGTTGATATGTACTGAAGGTGATGAACATCACAAATGGCCAAACTATACACACTGACGTAGCCCAAGCCTTGTTTCAGCCGACATAAGATTCCTAAAACTTCTTCTCGAACTTCAAATCAATGACATCTTGAGGCTTGATAGCCTTGACCCTGCTCCCTCTGATGTCCGTCCTGTTGAGTAGCTTCTCAAATACAGGGGCGAACTCCCTGCTAGTGGTGATCGGGAAACCGTGGAAGTTCGTCATCCCCGGCTCAACCTCGAGCTGAACCCGGTAGGCGAGGTAGACTTCGTTGAAGCGGATGTTGGTGTCCTCGTTCTCGCGAGCCGCCGCGACGGCAAAGCTGAAAAGGGCGCCCTGGGTCACGGCCGGGGCTACTCGAAGGCCCCACTCGCCCTGGGCGCCGGTGCACATCGTCCAGGTGGTGCCAGGAAAGCCCTGGTCGAGCAGGTAAGGCACAGTAGCGCGGTAAGCAACTGTATTTTTCGTCAGTTAGATGCTGATTTATTTCTTGAAGAAGTGAGTCTTCGAGGTTTTACTGACTGATGTACGTCTCAAAGTTCGCGGTCATACTCGCACGAAACGCGGCCACGTCGAGGTCTAGTATCTTCGCGTCCGCGTAAACCCAGCCAGCTAATCAAGGTATTTCAGCTCCGCGACCTAGCACTTCAGAATATCCAATGAAAACTTACGCGAGGCCCAGACGTGTTGGAAAGAAGGCAGCTTTCCTGCTCGCACTTGGTCGACCACCCCCTTGATCGAGTCTTCCGAAGTCGTGTCGGCCTCGACTGTCGTGATACCCTCACGAGTGCCGACATATTTGAAGATCTTCTCCGCGCTTGCCTCGTTGCGTACGATGGCAATAACATTGTGCTTGGCGTTGAGGGCGCCGATAATGGCGGCGATGCCCATGTTGCCAGAGGCGCCAAACACGAGAACAGTTTCGGTCATGTTGTCTTTGATCTTGATGCGTCGTTGATAAAGTGTGCGTTAGTCTGTGACTGATGATCTGAAGTTCTTCTCAGCGATCTCGATGAACTCCAGGCCTTTATATGACCTCACTCCCGCCCACTATCACCATCGCTCAACCGAGTCTCTCGCAAATCCGGAGGAACGGCTGGATACGACCCAACTGAATACTAAGCAGCTTACACAACAGACGGCGCAACCCGGAAATTCGTCGATGTTGAGGTGGTAGGTTTTAATTGTGCAAAGGATTCCTCGGTCTTTTCGCGTGTTAGCAATGGCCGAAAAGGCCGTACGGTGGTGATACGGATGCTCGTAGACCGAAATGTCCGTGCTGCGTTGGTTGACGCGGTTCGCAAACACGCGGGGTTCCGTGATTAATAATGAGTCGTCTTACTCTGGAGGCAGCGGTATAAAACGGCACAACCCTGCCAAGCATGAACAGTTCGTAAGTCAGAGTACAATTGTGTGTCGAAGAGCAGATGGGTGTCGGGAGGAGGTCTGTCGGAAAATCGAACCGCCAGTCTCCTTTGGCATGGTCGGTCGGGGTTTTGGTTGATTACCCCCGTGGAAGGGTATAGGTTCATATAAAAGAACTTTCAAAGCGTATATGAAATTAGACTGGTCTCCCTTCTGTAGGTCCTTTGTACAATTTCGAGTTCGGCATCCCACTCCGTTAGCAGAGGCCCGGTTCATGTAGCAGCCGGTGTGAAAGGATCGGCATCCGGTGTAGGCCCCACAGCCAGCGACGCAACTCCGCCGGCCAGGCAAGTAGCGAAAGACATGCTGAAATAAGGTTACTCTAAGTAATGAGCAACAATGATAAATCTGATCGTTTCTCCCCAAAGACCTAGAGAAGATATTTTGATTGTATTTGTAGGAAACAAATGGCATCATGATTGAGTCATGTCAAAGCCCTTCGAGCTTGACGTATAACTAGCGTATGTTTATGTTTCAATAAGATGTGATATCTGTTGTGGGAATGCGTTTAATAATATTTAACACCCGTCACTTGGCTAACTTTACTCAAGTCCGAGACATGTCATCTGTGTGTGACCTTACATACTTTCAATCCTTCATTCGATCATATGTCTCCGTTTTCCATTTCTCGACCAGTGCCTGTTTCTTCTCTTCGCTCAGTCCGGTAATTCTACTGAAGTCGTAGCCCTCTCGGAGCCAGTAGCCGTCAGCACCTGCCAACCAGAGGTCAGTTCTCTGTCTTTCGGATCGTTGGACATCCTCGTCGGTCCAAGAGGCTCCCAGCCGTTGGGTGGAAGGCCCTACTCGTCTAATCGCCGAGGATCTGCCTCGCAACCGCGTCTCGGGCAACTCATTGACATCCCACATAACGTAACCACATTCCCAAAAGCCTTGGTCCAAGGAGTTGAAATTTGTACTCCAGATTCCATCGGTCCAGTGCATAGCCAACCACACACGGAATGGAGTCGAAGAGAGGGAATCCTGTGGACCATCCATTGGCCCGGCTATTTCATCTAGTCTGCCCCTTTGATAAATTAGAGACAGCTCCGCTTCGTCTGCTACATTGAGGAAAAACAGGTCTTCCTGATCGTAATAGTCGTCTGCAACTGCCGTCAGATACAGCTGTTGGAAAGGCTGGTAGTCGCCATCTACCAACTCAAAGTCGAGTAGATCTAATAGTTTAAGTCTTTCTTCGTAAGCTTTTGCGTTTATGACCGACACCAAAAATGGAAGACCATTGCAAAGCTGCAACTCAGACGTAAGCTAAGGTGTCTATAACTAGTCTCTGAGAGATTGAAGACACGGAATAACTTGGTGCATAACTCACATAGCTCTGGACTCGGTCCAACTCCTGAGGGTCACGTCGCCATTGCACGGGAAGTTCGCCCCACACGACGTCATGTGCAGCAAGCTCATCGTATGCTCGGGTGCTAGTTAGTGATGTTGAAAGCTGAAACGATGCCTTCTACACATACCAGTAATGACATTGTTCTCAAGATAATGGTACACGCAGACGAGCTGCTCGTTGACCCATGGCGAGAATTCTGTGTAGAAAGGATGTCTATGGCCGAAGTACGGGGAGTACTCCCTTTCAGAACCCTTCCTCCCGCAGTACAGGTTACACATGATCTGGTAACGATAGAAGGCCCTGTCCAGACGGAACGTTTCCTGCGGGTTAAGATGTCCGGCATGCTCCAGCTCGAATCTTTCGACAAACGCGGGAATCGCCTCTCTGGCAAAGCCATCACGGAGAGACTTAACGGCCTCATGATTCTTGCTTAGAAATGCGTAGTCATCTAGAGACAGGCCGGTGAGAGCTGCTACGGCACGGCGGGGCTCGGATACGCTCCAGGTGAGATCTTTCAGCAAACTGTGGATGCTATCTTCAGCATCGCCGTTGATCTTTGTCGACCCGAGAAGTGGAAGAGCGAATGGGAGTGTGATGTCAGGAATCTGATTTGCGATGATGCCGCGGACTACGGAGTGAATGTTGTCTTTCAGAGCATCGTGGAATATGCGGTGACTGAGGATGGCGAGCCCGAGCTGCTGGATAGAGGGCAGGTGGGCAAGAATGATGGCTACCACATGCAACGGCACCCGTTGAAGTGGACTCGATGCCATTTCCAATACATGAGGCCCCCTGAATTTTGCCAAGGCAACGAGCAATAAAAAAATCAAAAAAGAAGGATGAAAGCGGCAAACAAGATGGACTGGGTATGAGCATAGGAAGCAACAGACTGTCTGAGTCAATGCCGACGCAGGCAGCAAGCAACCACGCCAAGAGCAGGGAGGTCTGTTTGCTGCCGGCGAGGCATTGACTTGGTTGGTTTAAGTCAGGCTAAGAACAAACAAAGATTGGATAGCTGATTGGCTGCACCCCGGCCATAAACGCGTCTCTGTCACAGCGATCTTGAAGTCGTCCGACATTTTTCAGCTTCTTGCCCGCTCAGACTGTAAAGTTCAAAGATGGGTCGAATTTGATATATGAGTGCGAAATCTAGTGGTTAACTTGCTGCTGAGATTTGGAATATATCTTTAAACAATCTTCATGTATAACTTCTGTTTATAAATGGTTGATTCGCATGGGGACTCAGAGAGTGGGGTAAGTAAACCAAGAGATGAGACGCGCCATAGAATTCACCAAGGGTATTTTCTTTGTGTTCTCGGTTGGCGTTGTGAAGGCTTAAGTCTGTCGGTGAAGGGGACGGGTTATGTGGTGGCCGGTGAGAACCGGTCGCAGCCCCACTCCGACTGTTGCAGGGCTGCTTCGCGGGCCGGCGGCAGGCAGATATGCGGCATCGAGCCACCGTTCCAAAGCTCTCGGCGACAAATACGATTGTGGAGTATGGCTGTTGCTTCTGCAGGACTACCACGACGCAAGACTGAAGGAAAATATCAATGAGGATCGAGGAAAACAGAGACGAAGAGGTTGGCGAAGGCGGCGGCGGCAGCAAAGACGACATCAGCAGTGGTGAGGATCAAGACGACTGCAGAGACATCGAAGAAGACATGGGAAACGTATCCGTAGTTGGATAGCACACTGAGAACGGCTGGACACGCCCTCCTGGACAACCGTCACCTCCAGCTTTGGGGCAGTGAGGTCAGTGTTTGCGTCCGATCTAGTTTCAGCTCTTTGCCATGGACAGGCGGCTAGGTCATTCCAATCGGCCACATCTTTCTATACCACGACCGATTCTTGGCGGGTCATCTTCGACCAGTAACAAAAGTTCTCGCTCCGGCCGACGACGCTGGTCTCCGAGTCGCGGCTTTCTGGGAGATCCGCCCGTGTTCGGGTGAGATCTGCTACCCGCCGAGCCAAGATCCGTGTGATCTCGAGAGATCGGAGTGTCAACCCCCGGTTGATGTGACGTTCGAGAACTGATGCATTGCTCCGACTACTAGTGCTCCCCCCGGCTAGAACTCAGTAGTTTTCCCTTGTCATATGGGTCGACTCAAGACAACGGCAGATACTTGCGAGTATCTGCAATCAAATGGATCGATCAGGCAACTAGCTTATGTTTGTGAACAACAACTTCATATCCAGTCGCAAAGCCGAAGACATCTGCCGTCATTAATGGGTTTGCGGTCAAAGTCTTCAACAACCAAGCTAGGTAGAGCCCCAGTTAACTCTGCATAAAGCCCGATTCGACCTCTACTGCGTACACAACCTTGAGGATTTCCATCGTCTTTGTCATCGTTTCCGCGCAGCGCCAAAGGCGGGCAAATGTTCCGCAGCAAGCCCAGTCCGTTCTCCGTGGCTGGGAGAAACGGCAGCCAGCCATCTCCAGTCAATTGGCCAATTGCGTCAGCGGATCGTCAGGAACTGGATCTAGCGTATAGAATGTTGGCGACGGGTGGGTGTCACGGTGGAGAACCACGGAGCCGAAAAGTGGACATGGAATGTCATCGTTGACCAGGCAAAACTCGCGGCGTGCCATCGTTTGCCCATCTCCGCGCAGCAGCCAAAAACTGGAGATGATGGCTCTCGGTGTACCACTAGCGATATCGGGTCCGACCCCGCAGGCCCCGGCAACCGCGAACCGACAGCCGCTAAGCCGATCGACGCGGACGTCGGGGGGGTCTATCCGTACCCCACCGGCCCTGACCGAGCTGACCGACGACGTTTGTCCATGCTTTCGCTGGAGCGATGGGAGGCAGATTTGGGATCAAGGTTAAGCGGGCATGATCTGCGAGCTGTCAAACTTGCTGCCGTCGAGGATCCTGATCCAGAATATTGGGTTCATGTTGGTTGGAATGAAGCGCGGCTTTGTAAGACTCGCAAACGCCACATGTGATGCGCCAAGCAGGACGTTGGACGCTGGGGGATCACGACATTATCATCACCGCAGACAAGTCTGTTGGAACCAGATATCTCACTGCTTCCCTGTATGATACAGAGCGGTTTGTTTCTTGGAATGTCTTGCCAAGGCGAGTAGCTCCTCGGTGCTCTTAGCCCATCCCGCGCGTTGGGCGGGAGGAGGTCGAGTTTAACGGGTGGTTAGCCCGCAGCCAAGAGACTCGGCACCAGCACGCCAGACGAGGCTGGGATTGCAACTTTGACGAATCTACTGCATGTCTCGTCCAGCAAACGTGGTCATGCTTCGCAATTGGCTTTTGGGCTAAGGGAAGACAGCGTGGCGCGAGGACCCTGAAGGACGAGTTCGGTGAACAAGCCACATTTGGCGGGGTAATCATTTCGCTGTATCAACGCTCCGGAACCAGACCCCGGCAGGACACCACGTCGTTGTCTCGTCGTCTGATCGCAGCTGGCGTCTGTTAAGGTTGTTTCTCTTACAGCTGGCTAGGCGTAGCTCTGAACACAAGGCACAAGCAACCACAAGGTGTTGTCTCTCGCGGCGGGCTTACAAACCTTTGCGCCCATTACCAATCCGTCTTGTCTCCGGTGTGCAACGGATGGATGCCGGAACACCGAGCCGTCGCTCAAGAAGACTTGCGACACAACAACAGAAAGGGACCCCACGGCTCCATGGATCTCCCATGGGTCGTCATCGGGGTTCGTTGTGTCAGCCATGCGTGGGTTCAGACTTTTTTATCCCTCCCGCGGCTGCACCACGAAAATGGCCATCTCCATTGGGACGGGGAGGATGGATCTTACGGGCACTTATCGTGGCGATACATGACTTATGCGTCGCTACAGAGTGCTAAACACGCCGCCAAGGGGGGTACATCTGCAAGGTAGCGATCACGTCATTTGAGCTAAACAGCCTCCATTTTTACCTTGGACAATGGGCATGCAGTACCAGCAACCGCAGACGACAGCAACGCCGATTTCACGCCGGGGGACACTTGAGGGACAATTTTTTTCTCTTTACGTGTCGAGCCCGCATTTCGCATTGAGGAAATAAAAAGACACCGTTGCGCCCCTCTACTCTGCCGCATTGTCTCTTCCTCCTGCTGGCTCTCTCCTGTGTCTCTCTCCTCCTCCTCCTCTGCAACTCTTCCTCGACCAAGCCAATTGGTTGTATTGTGCCTCTTCTGAGCTTTTCAGGAGCTTCGTATACCCCCTCTAGCGTCTTTGTTTCTGCTCAATCCCGAGTCTTGTCCTTGCCCCGCGCAACTACTCTCAACTTCACATACACAATGGCCAACTCTCCCCACGGCGGTGTCCTCAAGGACCTCTTCGCGCGCGATGCGCCGCGTTCCGCTGAGCTGCTCGCCGAGTCCGAGAAGCTCCCCTCGCTCGTCCTGACCGAGCGCCACCTCTGCGATCTCGAGCTGCTGCTCAACGGTGGCTTCTCTCCCCTCGAAGGTGCGTTGTGTTTTGCTGCTGCTGCTCCCTTGCTTGTCTGCGATGGTGGGGTTGTTGCTACCTGCTGCGGCTGCCGCTGCTGCTGCTGGACGGAGACGACCCCGCCATGATTTTTTGGAGGGGCAATTTGTGCCCCACCATTACGTTGCGCTGTGGAAAAAAACAGTGGGAACCTGGCTGACCGAGGCACTCCCGCATCGCAGGCTTCATGACCGAGAAGGACTACAACGGCGTCGTCAAGAACAACCGCCTCGCCGATGGCAACCTCTTCTCCATGCCCATCACCCTCGATGTGTCCCAGAAGACCATCGACGAGCTCTCCATCAAGCCCGGTGCGCGCATCACGCTGCGCGACCTGAGAGACGACCGCAACCTGGCCATCCTCACCGTCGAGGATGTCTACAAGCCCGACCGCACCGTCGAGGCCATTGAGGTCTTTGGCAGCGACGACGACACGCACCCCGGCGTCAAGCACCTCTTCTCCAACACGGAGGACTTCTACGTCGGCGGCAAGCTCGAGGCCATCCAGCGCCTCGCCCACTACGACTTCCTCGACCTGCGCTACACCCCCGCCGAGCTGAGGCTTCACTTTGAGAAGCTCGGCTGGAACAAGGTCGTCGCCTTCCAGACCCGCAACCCCATGCACCGCGCCCACCGCGAGCTGACCGTCCGCGCTGCCCGCTCCCAACAAGCCAACGTCCTCATCCACCCCGTCGTCGGCATGACCAAGCCCGGCGACATTGACCACTTCACCCGCGTCCGCGTCTACAAGGCCCTCCTGCCCAGATACCCCAACGGCATGGCCGCCCTCGCCCTGCTGCCCCTCGCCATGCGCATGGGCGGCCCCCGCGAGGCCATCTGGCACGCCATCATCCGCAAGAACCACGGCGCCACCCACTTCATCGTCGGCCGCGACCACGCCGGCCCCGGCAAGAACAAGAACGGCAAGGACCACTACGGCCCCTACGACGCCCAGCACGCCGTCCAGAAGTACTCGGACGAGCTCGGCATCCAGATGGTCGAGTTCCAGGAGATGATCTACATCCCCGACCGCGACGAGTACCAGCCCGCCAACGAGATCGCCGCCGGCACCCACACCGCCAACATCTCGGGCACCGAGCTGCGCAACCGCCTCAAGACCGGCAAGGAGATCCCCGCCTGGTTCTCCTACCCGGAGGTCGTCAAGGTCCTGCGCGAGCAGAACCCCCTCCCCGCCCAGAAGGGCTTTACCATTTTCCTGACGGGCTACACCAACTCGGGCAAGGACCAGATCGCCAAGGCGCTGCAGGTCACGCTCAACCAGGGCGGCGGCCGCTCCGTGTCGCTGCTCCTCGGCGAGACGGTGCGCTCC